TTTCTAAGGCTGGAGACAACTGCTCACCTGTTATTAGGCAGGGTTCAAAGCCTTATTTATCACAAAATTATAACAGTTTTATATATATATGGGTTGCTGAATCTGTTGGAATAAAAGATTTCTTTCCTACTCTAGCAAAGACTTGTGCCTTGTTTCAAATCTCTCTCTCAGACTATCTCACCACAAATTACTAGAACTAGAGACAGAAATCACATGAAAAAGTTGCAATTTCATTCTTATTCCCAGTTCTCTCTGATCTGAAGATCCTCAAATAATGGAGACACTTGTTGATGGCACTCGACGCTGCAAGCTACCAAGTACAAATTAAAATAAAAATGAAACATTCAACGACATATTCCTAGACATGACTAAAAAAAAACCCCAAACCTGAGGGGAATTCCATTTTCTAACACGCAAATTTAATTAATTTGGCTTCTATCTACACCAGTGTGGCAAAACCAAAAAAGAATAAGTAGATTTTCTAAAAGAAAATATGATTAACTTCATCTTGTCTATGAATTTACGTCCTTCACGCTGAACTCTGAGCTCCCCACCCTAAGATCAAAATGGTCATGAGTTTAATAACAAGAAATTTGTTTAAGTTAAGCTAGGACATTTAAGTAAAACTAGTGTTGTGAGGACTTAGAGCAGATGAAATCAGTAAAGTAAAATTCAACTGCAAAGAACTATGACATATCTCCCAGGAGAGAAATACTAATAAATAACACCGGGGAAAAACTCAACAGTTTGTAAAATATTTTTACAGCCTGTAAAATAGTTTTACAGGTGCTCCTTTAAACCATGTAGCTGATTCTAAGAAAGCAAAAGAAATGTAGACAATGGTTAAAAAGCAGTTGCTGTTGCATTTAATCACAACATCGACTTGCAGCAACCTGTGACCTTTCAAACAAAGGACAGAAACATCAGACAGGAGCAGATACCTGGACATGGAGCTGGGCTCAGTGCTTCAAAATGGAAGACAAACCTCTTTTCTGATTCATGCCTACTATCAAAGATAAGAAACTGAAGAAAAGAAATACCCTGAAAAGGCAAAACAATCAGTAACCTTGGATGGAAAATGGCAAAGATAAAAGCAAAGTGAAACAAAAGCCCTGGTAATTTAAAAGGGCAATGCAAGGCAGAAAGCAATGATGGCATTGTAGAGAAGGAGAAAGAAAGATGAATAGACAACATAAAAATCAGAAGCAAACTCAGTAATAATGACAAAACTAAGAGTGAAAGTGAAGAATAGTTAAATAAAAGTGTAAGACAAAGGGCCCCACTGCTCCAGTACAAACTAAAATCTTCACAGAAGTGCAGGGACTGAAAGTATTTTTCCTGTATCAGCTTCCAAAATCTATGACTCCCCTAGACACCCAACTCAAGTGGAAATTATACCTTTCACACTACTCAGTGACTAATACACCCTACAGAGTTGAAGAAATTCGTGTGGAAATTCACCCAAGAATTTAAATATCACATATCAGAGATTCCTGGCCCTACAGTGGGCTGTGCCTGGGAATTCTAAACATTTCTATTTGCTTGCTGCCCAAGAGCTACATTTCTATGGTTCAGCCACTAAAACCTCAGCAGACTGTGTGTCCTCCCCATCACCAGTGAAGAACCTTCCTCTGTTCATCAGGGTTGAGGGAATTTTGATTTGAACCTCGGGGTTTTTTCGGTCCACTTTGAGGGTGGGAGGGGGGAATTAATTTCTACGAAGACTGATAAAGTCTTTGAAGTAAAAGTCTGTTCTAGTTAACAAAGAATTAACTCTGTGTTTCTCCTGGGTGGCTTGCTGGAGCTCAGAGACACAGTCAGTGGGAAAAACTGTACTATTTTGAAGTGCAGGCAAATGATTTGATATTTGAACAGAGGACACTCACACTCCATTCTCTGATCTGCTCACTGTCACAAAGGTTCTCTGTGCTCTACTACCAAAGCCAATATTAAACACTACACAACTTCTTCTTACTCTAGAAAGGGACTGCCTAACAAAACAAACACCCTTTGATTAAAACTGACAGCTCTTAATGCCAGATATGAACTCTGCATATCCTGATATTGCCATCCATGGCCATTTACCTTTTTTACTGTGTCTGGGCTCCACAAACAGCACTGAGCCAGCATGCATGGGAAACTAAAACTCACACTCCAGAATGTATGTGAATTTGTACCTCTAAAACTTCCAGAGGAAACAGGATTACCCCAGTGAAACAGTTTGAGCACACAATCACAACTGGAAAGCTCGTTCTCATGGCTGGTAAGTATCTCCAAATCCTCTTTTGCATCCACAAGCAAGACAGCTTAAACAAACTGTTCTGCCAGCATGTCCAGGAGCAAAGATATCTGTGTGTGTCTGAAGGCATCTTCTCCAGATACCATGGACTAGGCAACCAATGCCAAATAATGATGTTTGCAGATGCCTTGCCACCTCCTCTTCACCAGCACCTGCTGACTCCTCAGCATTTCCTAAGCCCATTGCTAAGAGTTTTATGTTCCTAGAAGGGACAAGTTTGCTGGTTGTTTTTATTTAAGAGACAGTTTAAAGCACATATAAATAAATAAATACATATTATTGCTGGGTTTCAAAGTAACTTACACCTGTACTGAACGAAAATCGTAGAAATAAAATAGTCTGCAAGGACATAATTCACGTGCACCCATCTTTTCTGCACATTAATGTCTGAGGTTATAAATAAAGATTATATATTGAATCCATCCCTAGGCAGCCATGCCCAAGTGCATTTCCGAAGAATAAACTCTGGGAAGGAGTAAGTAGCCCTGAAGTTATTTACCCTTACATGTTTGTGAGGTAAAAGATATCTTAGGATATAAACTAAACACTGCCTTGTTGGCTCTGGAGTTACCAGTTCCTAGAAGAGTGTTGGGCAGTGTTTGTCAGTCCAGATGATGCTTTGGAGCACCCACTGAAAAAGCCTTTGATTCATTTACTAATGAAGCAAAAGGGCAAACCACACCAGCATATTTATTGAATCCCCTGGGAACAGACAAGGGAATTAATAGTTCACTCCCAGCCCCTACCATGCAAGAAAGAAAAAGTTTGCTCTAATAATAAGCTCCTTTTTCAGGTTGGGTGCTTTATCTAACCTAAGATAAGATTAATTGAATCTCTTCAGCCAACAGGAGAGCACTTGCTCTACACCAGCTTCCCTCCACTCCAGCAAAGCCTGGATTAGTGAGGACTGCAAGGAGGGCATTAGCCTGGGGCAGAGAAGAGAGACGAGCTCAGATGCCAATATTGCTGACTGCAGGACCTGTGTTTCTAGATTTTTTAAAACTAGAAAAGACACTTGTACAGGAAAGCACCAGACCCTGCTAAAATATACCACTGGGGATACTGAAAAAGGGTTTCAATCAGTATGGAGTACACAAAAGGGAAAGACTTGGGTGAGCCAGGGGCTCACAAACTAATGAGAAAATTCAGCTGCAAGCACCAGAGGCTTTTGTTCTCTGTTTGGGGACAGGAAGAGAAATAGATCTGCAGGAGCAAGGGACAGATTGAAAAACACTCCTTGGGAAAGTCTGACTTAACACATTTTACTTCTGACAGAAGCTGGCTGGGAGTGTCACACAATGCCCCAGTTTGACCCAGTAAAACACACGACTCGGGGTGCCAAGGAATGAGGTTTCTTGCAATTGTGATGAACAAATTTCCATGTGCAGCCCACATCAAAACCATCAGGGCCAGATTATGCAAAAATCTTGTTAGCGAAGGGCTTCAAGAAGAAAAAGAAAACAAACACAAACCCCATAACCCTAATGAAACTAATGCCATTCCCTCCTTGACAGAGTCATTAGCCTAATTCCAAACCTTTTCAGATTACTTATTGTCACTTCTTCAACAAAGAGAATAAAGAAATATCTGATTAAAATGGATCTAGTCCTACAGCTAAGCTGCTTCCTGAGGAACCTCTACATTACATAAGAGGCTGCAAAAGACAATGCCTCTTTCAAATACATGCACTAGCCTACACTAATTAAATGTGTATAGTTTCTTCAATGTTAATGGCTTCTGCTATTTCACTGTTTGTATATGCAAATGTACCTCCACTGCATATTCTATAAACTCCACTTCCCCTTATTAAAATCAGATCAGGTGAGACATGGGAGCCAAGGGCTTTCCATTTATTACATTCAAATTTAGGCCCCGAGCCTCTTGTTCTAAGTGAGATGATAAAATGATCAGGAATTAACTTCATCCTTCTTTCCCACCACCTCCACCGTAACTCCCCTCGTGCCAGACCTCTCAACCACCATCCCTATCCCAAAGCACAGCTCACAGGAGTTTCACGGCTTTGGGCTGCGATTGCCTGCGTTTCCTACGTTTTATAAATGTGGAAATGGCACTTCCCTCCCTCCCCTTTGTCCGTGGAGCTCAGTAACAGGCTCTTACTCAGCGAAATATTTCCAGCCTGTGCTGCACAAACCGTGCTTTTTTTGTGATTTATCAGGTACTTAACTGTTGAATGCCTCCCCTATCAGCTGCTGCACTGGCTGAGCTCTCTGCAGGGCTCCTTCTGCTCTGCTGCTGCAGCTCAGGGAGCTCCAGAACACCCTGGTCACGAGCCAGGATGGTACCAAGTTTAAAATAGAATTAACACACAGATGCATCAGGATCTGTTAGTCACTCCCTTCCCAGCTCCACCACGCCATTAAGAACTGAAGAATCAAATGTGAATTAACTTATTTTAAGGATTCTCTATTAACATAACAAAGCTTGTGATGTCAACCTCCTTTTACATGAGGAGAACTTTGGTACTACAATTCTCTTCTGCAGAATGCACCATTAAACATTTCTTCATCCTCTGTGGAAAAAAACCCCACAACTCCTCATTTTAAACCACATTATTATCTTATAGTTTATGAAAGATTTCTGTAACATCTCAGCTAAGCGCTGCTGGTATTGAATAAATAAAAATTAACTTCTGTTCACCTCAAATAATAACTTTCAGCGTGTGGTACAACAAGGACTTTACCTGCCACTTCTCTGGAGTGCAAATATGATGCCTTTTTCCTGAAAAGGAAGCAGCTTCTTTCTCAGTCTTTCAGGTAGAAAGGCCAGCTGAGCATCAACATCTTCTGAATGAGGAGCTTCAAGTGCAGGTGTTTCCTGGAGTGCACTCATGGTGAACCTGAGGGAGACAAAAGCAAACAAACAAACCAAAAAGATGTTTTACCTGCAAGACAGGTCTGCAAGGCATTAAAAAATAAAGCTTTATGGAAGAAATCTAATCATTTCATCTCAGAATATTCAATATACACGGCTTTTCTCGAGTCTCGAGCATTGTCTCTGGAAAGCACAAAATAATGCACATGCTGGAGGAAGAGTCCACCACCTCAGCAGCAATGAAATATTCTAAGATGAAGAGGTCAGGGTGTATCAGTTCCTTTACGATGTGTAATAATTATGTAAGAAAGTTTCCTGTTCATGAATGGAAGTTCCTGGCCATTCAAAGAGTGCTCGCTCATGGGTATCGAAATAGAACTCTCTTAGCAAACATTTTTCAGAAGAGTTCTAGGAAAAAAAATTGGCTGTTTAACCTTCTGAGGATGGAACAGTCCCCTAAAATTTTTAATCTTAATAAATCAGAAAAAAAGGGGAAAATATGCCCACTTTGGGGGAAGGGGAAAAAAAGAATCAAAAATAATAATATTAAAAAAACAGTAAGGAATTTTATTTCCCTCAGAAAGAAACAATACTGAGCCAAAAACCTAATCAATAAAATTTCTCACACTGCGCTTCAGATGAAAAACGTGGATTCCTCATTCATTTTTGTCCAAGGGACAGGGTCAGAGAGGAAATATTTTTAACTCTCTTCTAACTTGAATAGACTTTAAACGAGCAAGCAGGAGGTTGTAAAGCTCAGCAGCCGTGCACTGACTGAACATGAGGAGAGCAGCAAACCCTCCCATCCAAACATCACCTGAGGATTTCGGATTCAAAGCCTGTGTGAGGAGCTGGATCACCACAGGAACAAGGAACAGCAGCCAAAATACAGTTCCTGCCCTGTTAACAGCACCTCCAGGTTTGAGAGCAGCACCCTGACCAGGGTGCACTCGGGGTTTTGGATCCTGTCTTATTTCGGAAGCAACTGGAAAGAAGCCAGAAAAAAACGTGTGGGCTGAGCCACGACATTCCCAGCAGGAACGTGCTGAGCTGAATGATCGTTCTCTTCAGGAGCTGCAGGACTGAGGAAGCTGCTGATTGACACTGCATACAGGGTAGGACACACCTGGGGACACTGCAACGGTTGTTCCATCTCCACTCTATTTCCCAACACTCCATCTCCCGCTTGAGACTAAAATTGAGAAATAACTTCCACTGGGATGAGCACAGGACATTCTCCAAGACCAGTGGGAGATCCCAGTTCCCAGGAGACCCCTCTCCACAGAGCTTATCCCAGTGGCAGCTTGGACATAGCACATGGAGCCCTCTACCCATGGTGTGGAGATTCCAGAGGGGGATTCACTGACCCCCTGCTCTGCACCTCCCATGTGCCCCAGTCAGCCAGGTCCTGTCTTGTTGGACAGTTAATATTGTCATAAAATCAGGCAGACACAAAGAAAAAGGGAAAGGACAGAGCACAGCAAATATAAGTTATTGGGAATTTGCCACATCTGGAGAAAAATAAAAAGGAACTGCAAGTACAATGGGAAAAGGACAGGACCTGAATGTCCTGGAAATCCACTAACTCTTGCAGAAGCATCAAGAAATGAGGATTTTGAAAGATCTGCCACCAGCACTGCCAGTCAGACTAACGACATCCAGGCAGACAGAAAATGAATAAGTGCTTTTTTCTGGTTATAGGATGAATTACAGGCACGTCTATCAAGACATGCATCACAGACAGTCAGGGCAATGTGAAGAAAGTGCTGTGCACAAGCCTCCAGGCAAGTTCCATAACATTCTCACTGGGAAAGAATTGAGCTGGAGAACTTCCAGTTCGTTCCTGCATCCCTTCTTGGGCATCCATTACCACTTCTGCAACGAAGGGGTGTGTGACCACAGCTGCTTGGATGTCCCCTTCTGCTGGGCAGGGAGGGAACAGGGTGAATTTAAATCTGAAATATGGATCAACACTCAAAGTTGAGGCATAAGGGTTGTATTTACCATAGCTGTGGATTTTGTTGTATTTTGTGTTTAATTACTTGGCTGCTAGATAATCTTTTCTAAGAAGTATATTCTAGAAGAATATGCTGAATGTCATTCAGAGCATTCTGAATGTCAATGAAATAACCAGTTACAGAGAAAGGAAATCCAGAGCTCTTCTGCAAACCAGGCATTCTGTGCCATCTGGGTGGAACTGCATTATCGACCAGGGCAGTTTTTCCTCCCCATTTTTACAAGTGCAATCTTTCACGTATCTTTACAGAAACAATATTCTTGCACCCTGGGCCTCTGGAACGTTCAGCAGCAGATGCAAGTGCTGTGATCAGCACCAAGGCATGTCCATCACTGGACTCTGTTTAACAGGAGATGGAAAGCCTCTGCCTTGCCCAAGAGATGCATTTCACACAACTCACAAAGCTGCAGTCAACACCCACTCCAGCTCTCAGTTGAGCAAACAGAAATATTTCAGCTCTAGCTGTTGGGAAAGCAATCATAATCCCTTCAATAGTTCTATCACAATATTTTCCACGGAGTGTTTAATTCTGTTAAAAGTTGATTAAAGGTACTTCAAGAATGGTGGTGAAAAAATCAAACACCAAACATTTCTGAAGAGCCGAGCTTGGACACGAACGCTGCAGGATTGGTGGACCCAACAAACCTGTTCAACACTCAGCTCTGTGATTCACCTCCAAAGGAAATCTGTGACTCATTTTCTGGGAGAACTCTCTATTCTATAAAAGCACAGATAATGATACACTTTGTGATCAGCTTTGCTCCCCAGCTTGTTGTGAGTGACAATCTGCGAACGAAACAGTAACACAATTAACTCGCTGGGGAAGGAGATCAGGACAAGATCCTTTCATGGAGACACTGAATAGGAACAGTGCACCTTCAGAAGCATAAATCTGAATTAGAGGAGGTACAGATTAGTCATCAGTACACAGCAATACTACCATGAAAAATGTTTCTCCATCAGTCATTAACGAGGTTAAAACTGACTTTGCAGATCCATCTCGACAGGCAGCAACACAGCAAGCACTAACTACCAGATAGTTATAATTTTTGGTTTAGCTTGTTACTAGGTGAATAATTAAACAAATGATAAGGAATAATTATGGACTAGGTGATTAATTAAAGAGCAATGACTATTATAAAACCATACACAATGACTTTGGCACTGGTGGTCATTTATGTTTTGTTTTGAGACAGTCAATTATAGATGGCACTGTGGTAACATCAAGAAATAAAATTAGCCTTTTTTAAACCAAAAATTTAGTCAGTGCAGCAGAAGCCCAGTTTGTATCTGTTGTTGTTCTACCCATTGCAGTCTCAGAAGATCTCAGATCTAATGCATATATTCTTTAACTACAATATTTCATTTGTTCCTGTGTCCCTCATTTGTTGTAACATCCATGCTATTGCCCTTCCTGCTCCTCTAGATCACAAGCTCTGGAATTTGCACCTTTCCAGACAAAACACACCTCAAAGGTTTGGAGTGGAGACCCAGCTTTTCACTCAGCTGCACAAGTTTCATGAGTTAAAAAACCCCAAACTGCACAGTATTTATTCCAGTGTTTTAAAGGACACCAAGGATGAAATAGCCGAATTGATAAACCCAATAACTGTTTATCCAAAATTGCTTAATGGTAAATGATCCCAGCTTTTAAAAGCAAGAATGAGGAAGACTCATGGACCTACAGCAGAATTCATTCACAGGGCATAAAACCCAGTAAAACTTATGAAGTGGAGGATTTGTGAACAGCAGGAAAAATGCAACTGTTTGATCTGAGTCATCGTGTGTTTTGTAAAGGTGAGTCTTACCTTTCCACCCTGCTGAAGTTCTTTTGAAGGGGCTCTACAACAATGCACCTATAAACTATTTGATGCAGTCCAATTCACACTATTTTTCACTACTAAATTAAGAGATACTAGGTTTTATAAACATATTTGTGCAGTAATTTTAATTTCCAAGAAAACTTTTGAGAATGTCCCTCGAACTTTTAAGCAAACCTGAAACACGTTTTTTTTTAATTGAAGCGAGTAAACTGTTCATACATGAGAGAAACATCAGCAATATTTCCAAGTGCTGTGCTCCAACTTCTATTACGTTGAAAGAATCATAAGTAACTACTGAGGGATAAGGGCAGTGCAAATACTAGTAGAATAAAATAAGATTTAAAAAAAACCAACCTTGGAAATCTTTCTGTCACTGCTAATGTTATATATAATACATTTCATTATAGATTCTCATCCTTCTGGAGGTAGCAACTGAGACCCAGCTTGCTGAGGATATTACCCCAGGTGACATGTTTCTGTGCTGGAAGGTTGGGTGTAAGACTGATGACAACTTCAAGGACTATTTTAAGTTTTCCAGTAGCTGTTTGTCAACACAAGCTGATTACATAATACAAGCCCACTGCCTTTTTTTTTTTTTATGGGTCACTAAGAATAGCCTTCTAATGCAGCTCAGCAGCAGATGCTTCAAACAAATGAGTCTTTCCATTAAGGGTTTTGCTTCATAAATTTCCACTTGATGGCCTTAACTGCTCTATGACTGTGTGTTCAGTAAAAGGAATTCCAGGCTCAAAGCACATCATGGGACCTTGGCTGATTGATTAATCAACCACTGCACAGAAATCATGGAATTGTCAAGGTTGGAAGGGACTTCTGGAGACCATCCAGTCCAACCCTATGCCAAGGCAGAGTCACCTGGAGCAGGTGACACAGGAACACATCCAGGTGGGTTTGGAATGTCTCCGGAGAGGGAGAATCCACAACCTCCCAGTGCTCTGCCAATGTAAAGAAGCTCCTCCTCATGTTGAGGTGAAACGTCTCGTTTTAGTTTATGGCCATTGCTGGGCTCCACTGAGGAGTCTGGCACTGTTCTCTTGACATCCACGTTTGGGATATTTATATGGATGAATGACATCCTCTGTCAACCTTCTCTTCTCCAGACTTAACAGCCCCAGCTCCCACAGTCTCTCTCATAAGAGAGATGCTCCAGACCCCTCATCATCTCGGTGGCCTCTGCTGGACCCTCTCCAGCAGCTCCTTGTCTTTCTTGTCCTGAGGAGCCACCAGCGGGATGATAAAGAACTGAACATCTACCGAGCCGACAGAACACAGCACTAAAAAGCACATCAGACGGAGCACAGGACAGTTTTTCCACAGGCCGGTGCGTCGGGCTTGAGGAAAACAAGACACCTCAACACCTGCCTGGAGGCGAGTTTTTTGGATTTTACTTACGCAACTCCCCGCAGCTGCAATCGCAGAGCTACCTGCGATGAGCCGGCACCGGCAGCACCAGGACACAGCCGGAGGGCTCTCCCGGCACAGCACGGGGTGGATCAGGAGTCAGCGGGCGGCTCGTCCCTGGCCGGGGACACCGATGGAGCCCTCCCCGTCTCCCCGTGCCCCTCAGCCCGCGGGCTCCGCGCTCGAACGGCCGCCGGGAAGTGACGCACGGCCGGGGGTCACGGACGGGAAGCGCTTTGGGGCGCGGGAACCGCTTTTTCCTTTTTTTTTTTTTTTTTTTTTTTCCCTCCCCCTGCCGTCCCCATCCCTTCTCCCCTTCCCCCGCGAGCGAGTTAAACATCGCACTCCCGCCCGGCGTTGCCTCGCCCCGGCCGGGATGGGGGAGCGCGGGCGGGCTGAGGGAGCGGAGGGGCGGGAAGGGGGAGCGGGGATGGCGCTGAGGGCCCGGCTGGACGGGGCTCACCCCGCCGGCTCTCGGCGTAGGTAAGAGCGGTGAGAGCCGGTGCGAGGCGCCAGGAGAACGAGAAGGGGAGAGGGCAAGCCCCGACTACAGCTCCCAGCCTGCCCCGCCGCGGTGCGGGAGGATTGGCGCGGGCGCCCGGCTGGGTCAGGGCGCTGCTGCTCAGAACACACCGCACACCCGGCGAGAGGGGGGAGGGACGCGGGTGAAAGGTGAGCGGCCGGGGCCGGAGGGCGCTGGGAGCACACGGACCCCGCGCCGCCACAGCGGCGGGATCGCCCCGTCCGCCCGCGGCCATCGGCGGCGCGCAGCGGGCGGGCCTTGCGGTGCCGGTTCGCGCTTCTCATTGGTTCTCGCTGCTGTCCGTCAAGGCGGCGGAGCCCTCCCGTTGGCCGGTGCGCTCCGGGCGGGCTCTCCCTCGCGTCAGCGCCGAGCGGCACCACTCCGCGGCAGCGCCGGGGGAGGGCGGCGCGCCGCTCATTGGCCCGCGCGGCTGCCCATCACCGGCGTTCCGAGCGGCCATTGGCGGCGGCGGCCGCCGGGGGCGGGGCTGTGTCCCCGCCGCGGCAGCAGCGGCAGCAGCAGGAGGAACCGGGCGGCGCTCGGCGCTGCGATCGCGCCCCGCGTGTGCGAGCAGAGGAGCCGCCCGGCGGGCGCCGCGGCCCGGGGGGAGCCGGGAAGGGCCGGGCAAGGAGCGCTCCGGCCCGGTGAGGAGCCCGCGGGGCCGCCGGGAAGGCGCTGTCGCGGGCGGGGGTCGCGGTGCGCTGAGGGAGGCAGCGGGGGCGGGGGGGCCGCGGCCGCAGTGCGCACAGCGGGGGCAGCCTGAGGGAGCGGCGGCGCGGCCGGGGCGGGGGTCGCGGCCCGGCGGGGACAGCCCGGCCCTCTCCCTGCCCTAATATAGCCAGGGCTGGCCGGGGAGCGGCACCCAGCGCTGGTCGTGCATTATGGATTTAGTATTTTATTTATTATTTATTTAATTTATTTTTTTTTTTTATTCCTGCTGCATGTTGGGCAATGCTGCGTGTGGATGTATCTACCATGTTATAATCCAAAGTGTGAGTGGACTCGGGAGCAAACTACGTCACAGGCTGGGTTTTTAGCGTCTGTTAATAACGTTTTTAAAATGAGTTTTCAGCACTGGAGGGTTTCACTTTGTGAGGAGGACGGGATGAGACAGAAAAAGGAGCGAGGCATCGCTGTTTCTTGCATGGCGCCTAAGAGTTATTCCGATTATTCACCTTAGGAGATTTGCACACAACCTACATGTCGGTGGATTTGTGTGATGTGTGTAGAAAGCTGGATTAGGAAGGCGATGGGGAAAAAAAAAAAAGAGTGGTGCACACTTTGCTCGGGGGGCATGGCCAGATAGTCTAACCTACTGTAGTGTTTGGTGTTCTGGGGTGGGTTTGTTAATAGTCTTCATTTTTAATTTTGATGCCCCCTTCTCGTTTACCCGAAGAGACATCTTGTGTGCTCCACGCAGAAGAGGGATTTTTTCCCTCGCCGTGTCTGACATTGGCCCTTTAGCATTGAGACTTTCACCTGCAGATTTTAACGGCGTTGCTTTTTCATGTCTTGTCTTCTGCAAGGAGTGATGTCTTTGGGACCTTGCTTTTTGCCTGAACGTTGAGCAGCAATCTTACAGGGCAGGATGTCTTGTGAATGTTCGACAGTAAATCCTTATTCCTAGTCTAAGTGAAAGCAACAATGAAGTTCTGAAATTATTTTTCAAAATATTCAAACAGTTTGCTCTTCGGGAGAAACAAATGCCAGTGGAAACACTGTTTTTTCGATAGTCTTCCATTGGCTGGAAGATATTATAATATTGGCATACACTTAATATTAAGCATTTTTCCACAGCAAGTACTGTGATGTCAAGTGGTTGAGGTTTTTTTTTCTAGGAATTTATAGATTGTAATCCTCAATTTAAAGAAGTTCCAATGGTAAAGATAATGTCAACACTCGTGTCTTTTTAAATCTTGGAAGATGAAAATTGTAGTACTTGTAACTGCATTGCTCAGTCATTTTTTATTTGACAAACTGTAATTTGCTATCAGGATCAACTACTGCTTTTCTTAGGAGTGACTAAATTGACTAAATACCAGTATTTTTGTGGGGTGTGCAGTGTCCTGGGTTAGGTTTGGTAGCAGTTTTCCAGAAAATATTTGTTAAATATTTGAGAGGGGTCAATCACTAATCTGTTGCAGTGGTCCTCTGTTTATAATTTAATTTTGTGTCTCTGTTAAGAGGAATAAAGGAGAATTTGAGAAGACTGCTACAGCTACTTTGCTCTTTCTCCTCTTAAGCACAATTAATTCTATGTCTTTTTTTCTTCTTTTAGGTTATGTTAAGGTTTTGGGTTTCATTTCTTGTCATGTTTCAGTATGTTTGCCTTACACCTTAATCTTACTTACTTTGTATTTCTTGCTTAAAGTCTGTCTGTGAAACTGCTTAAACCGTCCCAGGTGGGGTGCTTTGGGCACAGCTCTGGGCGTGACACACAAACCCCAGAGTTTTGGGCTCTTTCAGGTGAAAGGCGCTGTCACTTTGCTACAGTAACCTCTGTTAATTCAACTCCACGTCTTTGTATCACCACGTTCACTCATTTACCTCTCCCCGGAGTTAATTTGACTGCAGGAGATGTAGCGCCGTATTTTATTTTTCTTTTAAATACAGTGACATGTTTAAGTTTCGAGGTGCTGTTTCCCAGCTTTTAAAGGTAGTTGATACAGTTGCATTTGCGGGGAAAATGGGCCCTCTGGCAGCGTGTTCGCAGCGAGGGAGCTGTCAGGTGATGGATCGGTATAAACGTGGCTGCAATGTGCTATACAGCGCGGTTTTATAAGCATATTTTCGTATATATATATATATATATTGACAGCGTGGCTCAGTTCTGGTGAGCCGGACAATTCGGCACTCCAACTTCTACCACCTGCATAAAACCAGCAACACCTTTGGATATCCCGGTCGGCTGAAGTGTGCTGGCTCTGAAATGTTCCGGCACAGCCGAGCTCTCGTTTCACAGGTGCGAGCAGAGTTGAGCAGCAGCCGGTGAATGCGGAGCGCGGTAATTCAGGGGTGTGACAGCTGAGGAGCTCTCCGTGGGAGTGGGAGAGGATCCTCTAGTGCCGGCACCGCTGGGCTCAGGGACTGCACAAGTGTTGGGAGCAGCTTTCCCGGGGCCATCCCACCTGGTAGTGGCCGGATAGGATTGACCCAGGGGTTTTGTTGACCGCTGCATTCCAAACTGCGCCTTTTAGTGCCGGAAAGATGAGGCGTTTGGCGAGGCAAGACCTGGATGATAAGGTCATTCACATCGTGTTCCTTAGGCGAGAGGGATCGCTGGGAATGCCTTAATGTGGTGCTCGCTCTGGACGATGGGAAGCATCTTTGCAAGCCCATTAAAGTAGGGTTTACGTGTTTCTTTGTGTTTCTTTGTGTTTCTTCGTTGACTTTTCTCCGAGGTGATGGACCGATGTGCTGTGTAACAATGTTAAGAGATTTTTTGGAGGTGTTGGGAAGCTCTGTTTCCAGGAGATCGTAAGTCAGCAATGGATTATGATTGACTATTGTTGGGAAAACGTCACTTTTGGCCTGCCTGTAATCTCCTTTTGATTTCGTAACTTTTTGAAGGAGTGCTTTAGAGGAAAGAATGTCTGAAACCAGATTTATGGAAGTGCAGCAGCCTTAATTACAGAACAGCCTGCACTGCTACTCTTGTGTGTGAGTGAGTCTCCTACAGTTCAGTGCATGTATTATGAGAATCCTGTCAACCTGTCACTATGATATGTACTCTTCTCCAATATATAGAATTAAATTTCCAAAAATATTAAATTTGATTATTGCATGTTCCTATCCAGACTGCTGCAGCAAAGTGGGATGCCTGTGGAATGCTTATTCCAGGGTTTCTTTTCTGCTCTTTATCTTGGGTCTCTGTAAGGGAATGGGCCATTATCTCTGAAGGCCATTATCTCTTAGGGCCATTATTTTTTTGCAGCCACTGGTTTCTGCTTAAACACTTCTATGCTACATTGTTCATCTCTCTTTTTTCATCTGCTGCTAATTTTCTGTTCTTTTATCTCCTTCCCAACATCAATTACTATTGTACTTTAATCTGTAACTCAAATTTGTGTATAAAATGGAATTCTGTCCTTTATTTCACACTCTCTCCTCTGCCCCCTCCCCAGGTTCGTTAGTAAGTTTGCACTGCCGTGTGTGAAAGCTCTTTGTCCCGCGGTGGATACAATGGGCTGAAGGCTGAAGCTTGTCAGGACAAGTGTCCTAAATATCATGAAAGCTATGGCTAAACAGCTCAGCATAGTTGCTCCTTGGTTTTGGAAGCGTAGTTTTGGATAACTTGCATTACTGGGTCAAAAAATAACGTCTAAAAGGCGTGAATGCAGAAGGTGTCATTGCTGGGTTTGGTTTGGCACAAGTCTGGTGCTGAGTTTTGTATTTTTCAGTGCAAGGGTTGAGGTGTGACAGCTCTCTGTAGGTGTCCAGCTGAAGCCTTTTAATTCACATTACCGTGAAGCAGGACGTAATCAGATGCACTCCTGGCAAATAGCTGCCCTTGTGAAAGAGGCCATCATGTTGTCACAGCCTTGACTTTTTGGTTCGTGCCCTCTGTCACCTCCTCTGGTCTGTAAATGAGCTGTTGTTGGGACGAATTTCCCAACTTTTAGCCGTGTGAGATGTAGGTCTCTTATTCT